GGGAGGGAAGGTCTCACTTCATGTTGGCGGTGGGTGAGAGGAGGGCGGAGGCTGCGGCTGAGGTCCTCGCACAGCACGTGACCTCCGTCCTCGTGTCTGCGAAAGATTTCCTTCGAGCTCGTCGGCTCCCATGCTGATCCCGCAGTAGGCCATCACCGTGTTGAGATCCTCCCGGTCCAGTTGCCTCGTTCCCCTCGAGATGTGCGACATCGCTCGCTCCAGCCCCCGCAGCCCCGACGCTCCTCGACGATACAGCAGCCGCTGCCCACCCGTCAGACGCAGCACAGGCAGAGCAGCAGACAAGAAGAGTGTAAAGGAGCAGGAGGAGCAGGAGCAGCAGCAGCAGCAGCAGGAGCATTATCAGGATCAGCAGCAGCAGCAGCAGCAGCAGGGTTACCTGTAGGTTGGCATGTGCGGCTTCGTATCCTCCTCCTTCTCGTCGCGAGCTCGCGGGGTCAAACGCCTGAGGCTCTCGCTGCTGCACAATCAGAGACGATGAACCTCACTATATTGAGATACCAGTCAACAAGTTCCGTGATACCTTCCTTATGAATTACTGTAGCACAGTTGATAAATCACAAGGTGAAACTCTATCCTCTCTCAGCATCGCCTCGTAGTCCACCAGCTGATCGCCAGCTGAGAACCGTCGGCTCAGCGTGTGCAGCTCGTGGTCGTTCAGCCCAGTGCAGAGCAGCCTGCACTTGGTCCATTAGGTTGTTGGCGTTTACCTTGCGATGCCCGCTGTCTCGTAACTCGCCCCGTCCCAGTTGATCCTGCCCTTGACTGCTGCGTGACATCCTGCTGACCTCTGCTATTTCCATCCGCTTGGCCATCTTGTTGAAAAGAAACACTCTCTTCTAATATCAGCAAGGTCTCCCATCTCCTTTGGAGGAAATGGTGGATACGGTAGCTCACTTCTCGGAGGTTGCAAGGACTGGGTTCACTCTCAGCAGGAGCAGTGGGAGACAATGCCACAAGCTCCGGACAATCTTAGCTTCCTCGCAATGCAGGCCCGGGTAACCGTGCAGCAGGTCTAGCGTAAACTGTAGCGCACTCTTCCGCTCATCAATCGTCTGGCGGTTGGGGCGTTTAAACGATGGTTGAGTTCCGGACTTAAGTTCATGTGGACCCTGTTGAGCGAAGAGAGGGAGAGCTCTGTGCCTTTCATGTGGACCTGTTGAGCGAAGAGAGGGAGAGCTCTGTGCCTTTCATGTGGACCTGTTGAGCGAAGAGAGGGAGAGCTCTGTGCCTTTCATGTGGACCTGTTGAGCGAAGAGAGGGAGAGCTCTGTGCCTTTCATGTGGACCTGTTGAGCGAAGAGAGGGAGAGCTCTGTGCCTTTCATGTGGACCTGTTGAGCGAAGAGAGGGAGAGCTCTGTGCCTTTCATGTGGACCTGTTGAGCGAAGAGAGGGAGAGCTCTGTGCCTTTCATGTGGACCTGTTGAGCGAAGAGAGGGAGAGCTCTGTGCCTTTCCATGTACCACAGGTCATGTCACTTTGTCTTGTGGACGCAGGTTGTGAAAGAGGCTGCGCGGAAAGGGTGTGGGATCGACTGTAGGCTGATGGTGGGGGTGTGGGATCGAGTGTAGGCTGATGGTGGGGGTATGGGATCGACTGTAGGCTGATGGTGGGGGTGGGGGATCGACTGTAGGCTGATGGTGGGGGTGTGGGATCGAGTGTAGGCTGATGGTGGGGGTGTGGGATCGAGTGTAGGCTGATGGTGGGGGTGTGGGATCGCCTGTACAGGTGGCAATGTCAACCTGCGGAGGAGAAGCTGCAGAGAGAGATTGTCCCCCCAGCATGTCAGGGGCTAGAAGAGTTTCCTGCTGTGACTCCGAGTCAGAGGAGCCTCAAGGTCTGTGTGAGGATA